ACTACATACATGGAATCTTCGATACCAGTCCCAATTATGTTTGCCAAAATAAGTCTCTTTCAAACATTTAGTCATTTCAGTAAATTCCTCCTTGTTTTGATCCTTATATGCAAATGAGATAGCATGAAATTTTGACAATGCCTCCAATATTACCAAGCATTCTGCCCAATTTATACAGCTCTGTCTCGATGCAGGTCCAAATCCTAAGGGAGAGAGATCTTCTAGCACTATAAAATCATTCTCACCATCCATGTAGGAGACTAGATAACGTGGTATACGTAACAGCTTGCTCTGTCCTTTTTCTTTCAAGAACTTCTCAAACTTAGGGACCACCTGCAAAATAACAATTGTTGAAAAATGTGTTAATCTGTTTGTATACAAGAGTAATATCAACTTTTTCAGAAAGATATATATATATATATATATATATATATATAAATGTAAAATAAATTTGTTATATCCTTGCCTGTGTATAAAAAATAATCTCATTAGAGAAAAAATCTGAACTTCTAAAAGTCTTCTTGCGACCAACATTCTGTGGAATGGACTTTACAACAAAATTAACTTGAACTTCTTGTCTTGCCTCGTCATCCGTAATACCATATAATACACCTTTGTAGACAGTTGACAAGTAGCTGTCACCTTTGGTAAATTCATCACCAAACTTCCAATCTGTCAGTTGCACTTTCTTCCCATCGTAGGCCTTGCATAGAATATCTTTCAGCACTTCTTCAGTAAACTTATGATTCACCATCGAGCTCAAGTTGACTTTTTTATTTTGAGCCATGATTATGTCTAAACAAAATAAAATTTTAGTGACATAATTTAATAACTTTTCACTATGTTAACGATTAATACAATAAAATTACAAACCAATATGTATACGTTCAAATTTTATTAGAATTCCGTTTACAAGAGTGAACAATATTGGAATGTAATGTCATGTAGAGCTTTATCGCGCTTTTATATAATTGTTATCTTGTCATGTATAATTTATCCAGACAGTCAAGCGTTACTCTGCAATGATAAAAATATTTATAATTTATAATGCATATGTTGCCGTTTCGAGAAGTCTGACTTTTCTGACATTGGAATTTAGACGAAAGACACGTACTTGATAACGTTCACTGTCATACAGAAGCCTTAACTCGTATCAAAATTAATTTATCTATGACCTTTCGTTGAAGTGTCATTGGGTGCGGTCCGTTTGCCGCTTTTATAGGCTTCGGAGTAGAGTTCCGGCCTAACCGCCGTCACGACAAGACGTGTTCGAACATGTTCGGACCTTGTGATTTTTTTGGACCGTGTCTTGGAAATTTCCAAGACTTTACTCTCAAATTATATCATTAATCGGAAACTGGCGTAGGGGCATTACTCTTATAGAGGCCTGTAGCCATATATTGAAGGAAGGAAGGAAGGATATGCTTCGGAGTAGATATTTTTATAAGATAATAACAATTAATGATATCATGATCCAAGATAATTAGAACGCACTGACGTACGGTTCAACTGACTTTACAATAAATGATAATATTATAATCGCTAAATCCACTGGCATGAACGTAGCAGATGAGTGAAACGACCATGGAATCTAATCAATGGAACACGTTCTAGACCAAAATGAATGAAGTTTTTGCAATATTGGGCGCGTTCAGCGGAAAAAGCGCTCAGTGAGCAATTAACGATTATTGGTTCTTACCGTTAGATTCCTAAATCTAAACCAATTACATTGACGAATTACTCAACTGTTGTGCAACTGTTGAGTTCGCTGAACCCATTATCTTCCAGGTACAGTAAGGTTAAAGTATATTTCGCTGTCAGTACTGCGAATATATAGTTTGTGTTATACGTATCTTATAGATTTGAAGAACTGACACTGAAAATCGGAACGTACTTTCGTATCTGAGATACGATATTGCAAAAACCTAATGAGAAGAAAACAAATGTATGACTATTGAGTTATATTTCCTCCTACTGTCCAGAAGCATATTATCTTCCAATAGAAGTCAGGTTAGACAAAGACCGACTGCCAGCAGTACATTTTACATATCATCTTTTTTTAATCAAATCTTAACAGCCTTTTCGGAATGTTCAGTTTCTATTCAATCTATGACCACATAGTATTGAAATTTCTGGGTATGTTGAACGGGACGCGTAACTATGAACATTTTTAACATAAAACAGATATTATTATCTGATTGCATCAATTGTTCAAGCACTCTTATAAAAAGAAAAAAATTTTTAACACGAGCGTAATATTTCTGCAACTTATAGATCTTGATATATCTTGACATAATTGAGTAGATCTTGACATTATTGTAGCGAAAATTTGAAAATGAAGAAGGGAGAGAAGCCTTCTCCGCGCATGGAAATTACTGTTTTTATTTTATTTACTGCTGACAGATTTAATAAAAAATTATATATAAAATGTCATTTTTCTCCTAAATACATATATATACATTATTTTAAAAAGCTATTGTTAGAAGCTAACAAGAATATAGGAACCTCTTAAAGAGACTTAGGAACAAGATGTTTAGTGTTTATATCATGATTGAGATAAATTTCTCTTTTATAAAAAGAAATTTTGCAAGTTCCTCAGAAATTCTATTACTAGAAATATAATTTTTCCTATAATATATTATTGTTTCTTAATTGATAAGCTTGTACTGTTAAGACTAATTTTACAGAAACAGTGAAGATATTTTTTGTGTAAAAATTGATGTTATAGATATCCATGCTCAACAGCATGAATCAGCATATCTGCTAATCTTTGTTTCCCACTTGATGTTGCAATGTCAGGAAAGACCCATACATCAGCAATATCTATTGCCTTGTCACCTTTAATAACATCCAAATCGAACAATTCAGATGGATTCAATAATATAAATGGAATAGCTTCAATTGCGAAGACAACACCCACAATAAAATTTTCCTTCACCTACAATTGATATCAAAAGTTTTACTTTGCACAGAAAAAGGAAGAGAACTCTTACACTACAAAATATATAAAATATACTTCTTTCATGAAAAAATCCCATGGATAGATCTTTTCTGGATCAGATCCAAGAGTTTTAATAGCATCACTCAATACAGAATGATAAGTTTTCAAGATAGTGTCAAAATATTGATCTCGAAATGGCTTCTGAGTGCACGAGTAAACCAGGGATGATAAGTCCGTGGAAGGATTAGCGGTACGTGCTACTTGAAAGTCGAGTAATAATGCTTCCTTCTGATTTTGACCAATATCCCGAACTAAAAAGTTTGGAGCCCAACAGTCACCCGCGCATATAACAGACGTAGCAGCATGTTTCCTTTCACATGCTAACTCTGAAGATATGTCATAAAGTACACCAAATTCATAGGAATTAAATTGCTTCACAGCCTTATTATTAGGATACTCAGTCAATGCATCTTTAGCTATATTTATTAATCTCTCCTAAAAGGAAGACTTAGTTTGTAATAATAATTATTTTATGTAATATTATATAGATATTATGTATAATTATTAAAACAGCACTACATACATGGAATTTTCGGTACCAGTTCCAATTATGTTTGCCAAAAAATGTGTCTTTCAAACATTTTGTCATCTCAGTAAATTCCTCTTTATTTTGATCCTTATACGCAAATGAGACAGCATGAAATTTTGACAATGTCTCCAATATTACCAAGAATTCTGTCCAGTCTATATCACTCTCTGCTGATGCAGCTTCAAATCCTAGAGGAGAGAGGTCTTCTAGCACTATAAAATCATTTTCACCATCCATGTATGAGGCTAGATAACGTGGTATACGTAACAGCTTGCTCTGTCCTTTTTCTTTCAAGAACTTCTCAAACTTAGGAACTACCTGCAAAGTAATAATTGTTGAAAAATGTGTTAATCTGTTTGTACACAAGAGTAATGTCAATTTTTTCAGAAAAAAAAATATATAAGTATATAAAAAGGTAATTATGAAGGGGGAACCTCATCAATTTCTGTAAAATTTGGTAGGATAATATATTTTAACACGTAGAAACTCGTATAAAAATAAAATAAATTTGTTAGATCCTTGCCTGTGTATAAAAAATAATCTCATTAGAGAAGAACTCTGCACTTCTAAAAGTCTTCCTGCGACCAACATTTCGTGGAATGGGCTTTACAACAAAATTAACTTGAACTTCTTGTTTTGTTTCGTCATCCGTAATACCATATAATATACCTTTATACATAGTTGACGAGTAGTTGTCACCTTTGTTAAATTCATTATCAAACTTCCAATCTGTCAGTTGCACTTTTTTCCCATTATATGCCTTGCAGAGAATATCTTTCAGCACTTCTTCAGTAAACTTGTCATTCACTATGCTCAAATCGACATTTTTATTTTGAGCCATAATTATATCTAAACAAAAGAAAATTTTAGTGACAGAATTTAATATTATAACTTTCCACTGTATTAACGATTAATACAGTAAGATTACAAACTAATACGTATACGTTCAAATTTTATTAGAATCCCGTTTATAAGCGTGAACAATATTGGAATGTGATGTCATGTAGCTCTATCACGTTTTTATATAATTGTTATCTTTGTTATCTCTCTCTCTTCTCTGTTCTTTTCAGCTAACTGCTGAACTAGTGCAATAAGTTAAAGTGAGACAAGTATATTTTTTCTCACTTTAAGGGGGGAAATCCAATTAGAACGAGGAAAAATAAGCTATTTTCAAGAATTTTTTTGTAGGAGAAAGAATTTTTCTATATTTTTCAAACTTAAACATTTATTTATATATGTTTTGGACTGTCCATACGTATTTTTTTTTCCAAAAATATTTAAAAATGGCGGACATATGAAGCATCCCATTTGGCAGGTACGCGTGCGAGTTGCTCAGCTGCTGGACAAATGGCGTCCGTGATATTGATCCTATAACAGGCAGCGAAAAAATTCTTATTATTTATACCCATAATTCGTAATTGAACCTAAAAAAATTGAAAAAAGTCAAAAATTTTGAATATGAAACGCTTATGAAAATAAATTTCCATTTTTTGACGTTTTCTCTGCACAATTTTTGCAATAAATAAGTGATTTTTTATTATAATTTTCACAAACATTTAGGTTCACCGACATTGTACTGATGTCATGAAGTTGTGTGCGAAAGTTCAGCGCGATCGGTTGAATAGTTTTTAAATGAGAGTTCCAGCAGTGCAAAAAAGTACAGTTTTGAGAAAAACGTGTTTAAAGTTTTGACAAGTAAAAGATACAAGATATCTATAATTTACCTCTTAGTCAGCAATCCCGGCGCCATAGAACAATCCTTCTGCTTCCTCGAAGAACTCGTTCTGCTCCAATAACTGCTCTCTTCTGGCCTTTCGAGCTTCTTTAGAGTTGAAAGAGTTGCGCCGCTCCTGTCGAGATACCCGGCGCCCGTCGACGTTCTCAGCATAGTGCTTGGTCTGGCTCCCAATAATTATTTGTAACTCCATCATAATTTGTAGAATGGAAGAATATCCTTCATTGAAGACTCCAGCAGCGATGTAGGATGCAATTTCAACTATTTTCAGCCCAGAATTAAGATGTTTTGGAGCTAAACGCCAAATCGTAGAATTGAAACTTTCATTTGAATTCTGCGTATGACTGCCCAAGCATCTCTGAAGTAATTCTTCCTTAGATAAATCTTCATAAATTGGAAGAATGTGTTTTGCGACTGTTGGATCGAGTGGAGGAGGGTGCTCAAAAGAATCCAAATTTGCTTCAATAGCTTTTTCTTTCTGCCACTTACACCAGCTGTCTTCGCCGGGCGGGCAGTATTCGTGCTGTGGCTTCTCATCCGTAGAGATCAAATGGTAATAAGTGGCTATAATACTTTTTTTCATTCCCTCAATACTATTCGCATTTCTTCTAATTGCCAGACCATAGTACGTTGTGAGCTTTTTAATTAAAGCATCCGTTAGTTTGCCCTTACCACCGAGTTTTTGTGTTTTTTTTATATTTCGGAGCCGAGTGCCCATTCTTTTCTCTACGTGGCCAATGCATTCGCTTTTTGCAACTTGAAATTCATCACCGTAAGGATTCTTATCTAGAATGGCCTTGAAAGTTTTGGAGTCTCCGTCTCCAATATAATTACCATATTTAACGCCGTACTTTTCCTCTGATCTTAAAAAGATTTCTGTAATCGCATCGACCTCCATTTTTCCGGCTGAGCCCTCGTGATTTTTTGTACACTCTTCCTCGTGATTTATATACCACTCTTCGTATTCTGGAGTGTTCACCTTTTTTTTCCAAAATGTGCATGCATGGCAATAGCTACTTTTGATAACTAAATCGATGACTTTGCCCGAATAGTAGCCTATGACCGTTACAACTCCGTACAGCGATTTGAATCCACGTTTTTTCCACGAGCCATCTCCAGAGACTTTCAAATCTAAAATAGACCTCTCATGTTCTTCATTGAATTTTTTTTCTTCTTCGATAGCTTTCTTGCAGAGACTTTCAAAAACAGATTTTGTACAGGAGTGAATATACGTGATGATATTATTATACGTGCTCTCATTCATTCCTTTACAAATGTCCATGAGGTTGCAGAATAAATTAATACCCTCTCTGCCAACACCTAAGAGTCGCATAACAAACACCATCCGACGATTCACTTCGTATCCAGTGTTGATTAGTGGTCCTGAATTGATGTTTCTCTGACCACAGCGACAAAGTAAAACTATCTTGAAACCGAGGCCTCGATTCCCAGCTTCTTCAAACTTTACATTCTGTTTACAAACACGACAAACAAGGAGCTCTGTCAAGGCTGTAAAAACGGTGAATATTTCAATCAAACGATAGCCATGCAATGGATTCCAGTGAATATCTTCAGCACTAGCATTGGAGAGTTTTCTTGCACTCGTACTTTCACATCCTTCATCTTCACTCTTTTTATTTGAAAACTGATTACCATGGAACTTTCTTTTGCGTGGTTTCGATTGTTTTGGTTCGGCGTGTGTGCCTTTCGGATAGGACATTTCGAATTTGCACTGTCGTTTTGTACAGGCCGAACTTCGGAGCTAAACTGAAAACCGGTTCTGCTCGATGCCAGCGCCAACGGACCCAACGGTTTCGACTAAACGTAACAATAGAAATAAAAGCCATCTACCAGGGGTGCGTTCCAAAACCTACAGTAAAACTATAATTACATCTCTATACGTTTTGGATCGCAGCCCTGAAAGGTAAAATCCCCGCTCCGGGTGAGTATACCTGCTGCGTGCTATTAGAGCCTCGACGCTGCTCAAGAGATTTGTTGCGCTCGGAGGCCATAACTTCCGAACGGCTGCGAATTTCGATTTAAAACGTTGGGAACATATTCTTACAATGTTAAATAAACATTTTATGCAAAAAAAAAAAATTCGATTTTTTGAAAGTTCTAATTGGATTTCCCCCCTTAACTTATTGCATCAGTTTAGCAGTGCAGCTGAAAAGAACAGACAGACCACTTGTCATATATGATTTAGGATCGATTGTTCTAATCTTTTGGCAAGCTACTTAACAGTTAAATCATCTGTCTTCGTTTTTTCTTTAAATTGGGTGGAGACAGATACACGATTTAACCGTAGGTAGTTTACCGAGAGATTGGAACAATCGATCTGTGTTTGTATGTGTGTGGTTCCCTACTTCTGATATAGATTTAATATACTTTTTTTGTATTAACTTTTATTGCATTTACTTTTGTTGCATTAAAGTCATGATACAACTCAACAAGTGATATATGAATACACACATTTCAAATGCACGTATTTTTGCATGTGGTTACGGAGTATGCGCATTGAAAATATACTACTTGGAACGCATGCTGCCTCTTGGGCATCACATACATTTAATTGACCAATCATGATAAAGAAATCCTAGTTTTCTTTGTTCTTATTGGTCAATTAAATGCTACTCTACCCGTCAAGCAGAGTTTTGGAACACAGCCCTGGGCCCCTATTCTTGAAATTTTTGCATATACGTAATTTTCATTGTGCAGCTATTTTATGGTACAATTAAACTTGCGCAGTAAAACTTACGTATACGCAACTATTTTAAGAATTATGGCTCCTGCACACAGGACGCGGTAAGGGCTATCGCACACAAATTGACATAACTGCATATGCATAGCATAAGACCGTACCAATGAGCATCGAGTATTAAGTCGCCATATTGGTGTTCGATGCTTAATATTCGATGCTCATTGGTCTATACGATCTTATGCTATACATATGCAGTTATGTCAATTTGTGTGCGATAGCCCTAATGCTTGCCGCGCGGCGGAAGTTCGCGCGACAGCCAATCAATATGTTGTTTTTCCGTAAGAGCTAGAGGTTATCACAGAAACCAGCATATTGATTGGCTACCACGCGAATTTCTGTCGCGCGGTAAGGATTACCGCGTTCTGTGTGCAGGAGCCATTACAAAGAACAGATCTTTAAATTATATCGTGTAGAGATTTTCCTTAGTACCAACATTATCCCCTCCATTTTTCGGGAAACTGTCGTCTAACCATAAAGGTAGAATGGCGCTTATAGCGCGTGGGGCCCAAAAGAAACGTAGTCCCGGTGTGTTGTTGAATGAAATGCACTTAACCTAGATTAACCTTTCTGTATAAGATATTATCAATTACATCGACTGTCCAAGCACTGTTATAAAAAAAAGAAAATTATTAACGCGACTACAGACCTCGACATTATTGAAGCGAAAATTTGAAAATGATGAATGGAGAGAGACCTCCTCCGCAGATGTTTTTGGGAGAGCATGGAGTAGAAAATGTTAGTTTACGATAGAGAAATTTTGTAAAATATTTTTTCATTATTAATATTTTTGGAGTTACATTCTAATTAATACGCGAGTAATATATATTTTCTTTAACAGACTTTCGAGTTTATGGGTTATGTGCGTAATGAAGCAGCTAAAGATGCATCGCCGTTGGAAAAATTTCAAAAGGTAACACTTGTATCACGCAGAATCGATTTACTGTACAATAATGTTGGTGTATAATTAAAATGTTTCTTGTCAGACGATGAAGATAGAAGTAGTGGAAGACAAGGATAATGTATTAGAATTCGATATGGTTGGTTGTTCTGCTACGCTGGTCAATGCATTTCGTAGAATACTCTTGAGTGAAGTACCAAGTATGGCTATTGAAAAGGTTTATATCATAAATAATACTAGTGTGGTCCAAGATGAAGTACTTGCACACAGGTAACAGAGATTATCTAGTCACTCTTATGCAAATTTTCTATCATAGATATAGCTTATATAAAAAATATAAAGTAACATAAAAAATATTTTTTAAATATAAAGCAAAACATTTTATATCTACTTTTATTCACATAAAAAGTTATTTTATATTAAATATTATATATATTCCATATATATTATTTATTATTATATACATATATATATATTTTCCACTGGGAAATAAAGTAAATATATTTACTTTTATACATATATATACACACACATATATATATATATGTTCATGAATGTATTTATTTAAGTAATATAGACATAAATAACCTAATGTAAAATATATATATCTTGCTGTCTAGGTTGGGTCTTATACCTCTGCGGGCGGACCCTCGATTATTTGAGTATCCATCGGGCAATACCAGAAAAGACGACGAGGTCAGCGATCTAGATACTTTAAGATACGAGTTAAAAGTCACATGTACAAAGAATCCGCAAAAGTCGCAGGAGTCGACCAATTTACCAGAAGAGATATATAAAAACGGAAATGGTATCTCATCAGACTTATAAAGATATTTAGAATATTTATTAGAAGATACATTATCTTATGTATTTTTTGTATGTAACATAAATTGTTCCAACATAAGTTGTATTTCAATATTCTTTATCAGTACTGGAAGTCTATATTTTATATTAATAAGTGTTGAAGCTATATAGATATATTTAGCACTGGCAGTGAATATCAGAACACAGCCATAACTGTAAATGTAATATAGCAATAATATATATTGCAGCAATATGAGATTGTGATAAATAAACATCATCACAATTGTATTAATTTATCTATTATAGTAATAAATCGTGGAATATGTAACTGTACAGAACAATGAGGAACGTTTCTTCTTACAGTTTATAGCAAAGACATCAAATGGGTGCCAATAGGCCGACAAGGAGAGATGTTCCCACATGGACCAGAGGAACTATGCGTACTGGAAAACGACATATTGATAGCGAAGATGCGTCCCGGCCACGAGATTCACGCGTACATGCACGCGTTTAAGGGCATCAGCAAGGATCACGCTAAATATTCTCCCGTGTGTACGTAAAATATATACAGTAATACACATATACAAAATACTTTTCATTCAAGGGATTGAATACCGAGATTATTTTACTATGCTGATATGAAAATGCTAATTTAATTTTTTTTATAAAACTGAGTTTTAAAGTTATGCTAAACTAAGTTTTTACATAATAATTGTATAAAAGCTTCACTTTTACATGATACTCGATGTTTTAAAAGCATTTGTACGATAAAGATACCGACATGAAAACAGTAGCTTTGATATCGTCTTCTATTCTTCATCAAGTATTTCATGCAAAGTTGATCATATAGAAAAAATCAAACAAAACTCATGCAAAATAATAATATATGTTTAGCCATCGCGACGTATCGTCTCTTACCGCACATCGAACTACTAAAGCCTGTGACCGGCAAGAAAGCGGATCTCTTAAAAAGTTCCTTCAGCCCAGGCGTGATAGAAGTAGTGGAACAGAAGACTGCTTCGGGTGAGACTGTACGTGAAGCACGCGTGAAGAATGCTCGGTATGACTATTGCTCCAGGAATGTCTTCCGTTATCCTGAGCTTAAGGGCTGCGTAAAGTTAACTCGCATACCGGATCATTTTATCTGTGAGTACGAGTAAACAAGGAATCACCAGAGAGAAGGATCAGTTTGAGTCAACATAATAGTTATTGATGTACAAGTCACACATGTAGTAAAGTAGAAATACTAATTCCTAGACAGCTTTCTAGTTCTGAACTTTCTTATTGTTTCAGTTTTCTAAAACGAATATTTAAGTATAGAATATATGTATATATTCAATATATATATGTATGTAATCTATATTGAAAGTTTAAATAGTTGTATTTAAAGACCAAAACAGTAGTATGAATCTGGTCGATTCTTTTATTGGTACTTTTACCTTAATAGGAAATAATGAAATAATTTAGAAATGTTCTACTTCTCTTTTCTTTCTTGATGATTTTTCTTGATTTTTAGTCACTGTGGAAACTCTGGGAGCGCTACCATCGGCTGTGTTATTTAAAGAAGCTGTTAAGGTACTCAAGACCAAATGCATAACGTTCATTGATGAGTTACAGAGTTTAGGAAAATGAATGTAATACAAAGTTTTGTAATATAAATACATGTGCACACACATATGTGTATATATTTAAGTTTAGAAATAACTTTTATATGATATAAATCTTTTATATGAAATTTCCATTTAGAATACTATTTTGTTTAAGCATCAACAAAGTGAGAAAAGATATTCTAACCATCTATCATATCACTGCCTAAATATTTTAATCAATAACATATACAATAGACATAAAATTACATAAAACATGTTTCTTTGCTTAAATATTGCATTTCATGGAAATTTCAAAGCTCCTATCGAAGAGATCAAATTCAAGGTATACCAATATGCTTCCCTGAAAAACCACATCTAGATAGTGGCTTGTGTGCAAGGTTGGCATCTTGCTAAGCATCTAGACCAATAACAAGAAGAAAAAGACCAATGCACGCGCGAGGTGAGGTTAGGCGATACTCGCAGCAGCCGCGACATAACCTCGTTTCGACGCGGCGCGCCGCGAGAACGACCAAGGAGAGAGAAAGACAGAAATAGGAAGGCACTTGACGCGACCGTGAAATCCTATTAGAAACGACACAGCATGCCGAGTAAGTTCGGGACGGTTGACCGGCCGACAACGATGTATCGACGTTCGCGATCGTCCGCGTCGCGATGCCATGACAGCAGTGTTTGACGCTGTGGAAATCGTTGCGTCAGCTGGTCTTCGTCGGCCACCTAACGAGGCTGTATCGTCGCCCGCCGACAGACGGACGAGCGAGTGAACGAGTGGCGGAGGAAGGAGTCGACGCGCGTCGCAGCCGATAACTCTCTGCGACGATGATGGCGTTGGGAAGCTTCCGATGGCGCGTCGCTATTATCCTCATCACCGTGATATTGCTCTGGCAGGCGTTCAGGATGTGGAACGCCGCTGTCGCCATGCGAGGTACACGCTTAATAGGCTTACTTGCACGTGGAAGGACGGAAAGAACGAAAGAATGAACGAATATATGGCACATCTCGCGAACATAAACGGCCCGAACGCCGCGACGACGGGGAAGATCGAGCTAGACGCGCGCATTCCTGCTGTATCTTCCACAAGGCGTCACGCGTCCTTGTCGAGGTATCGATTTTTAACCGGGCAACCGGCTCGCTGCCGGGAGTAACGTGGCGTGTTGACACGCGTCTGTCGTGCGATCGATCAAGCTGTTGATTGCGAATCGTTACTTTCACTGCGTGTTTCCCGATGCACTTCGGGCCGGAGGAATTATTGCGACGAGCTTGTTACTTTACGTGCAGCGCGAATGTCTAATGTCCGTATTCTGTGAATTCTTTTTTATCGATAAAAGTACCTCTGAAAAGTGGCCTATAAACCCTCTAATCGGCAATGAGTCACTTCAGGAGACATTTTTCGATAGAAGAGTTCAGAATATGGACCTAAGAGACGTCTGTGATACGTCTTTTAGACGTACTTAAGACGTATTTTCTGAACATCTGTCTGGATTGCGACATGTTTTTCACGGCGTCTTTTGCGCGCGAAACGTTAGTAGTTTACGGCCGGCGGTTTCACAACAAACTCGTGCAAATAATTGACATTTGTTCACGTTAATCTAGAATCTTTGGCAATCTTAATTTTTCAAAATGAAATTTTTATTCTCTCCTATCGAAGCTCTTCAAATTGAATCTTTGAAAGAATGTGGTTTTTATTCTGAACTCTATTTTATCGATAAAAGTGCCCTTAAATATTGGTTTATAAGCCAATCAAAAGACTCATAAGTTACATTCAGAGGTACTTGCATTAATAAAAGAGAGTTCAGAGTAAGAACTTGCATACTGAGAGAAAAAAATAAAAAATATTCGGTAACTAATAACACATCTACTTAAATCTAAATTCTCTTATTTAAATAAAATACAATTGTTTTTTCATGAAAAGTTCTGTTTTTAAGATGTATATTTATTTATTTATTTTTTTTAATGTATATTTTCTTATTTGAGAAATATCTTTTCTCAATGCAAAAAATACGTATATTAATATAAGCAAATATTTTGTTAGTGCTCACCGAATAAAGATTTTCGATTTCTTCGATATTTTTTTCTCTCAGTATATATCTCTACACCTACTCGGATTAGGTATGCCTCTATTGAACCAATACTAAATTTCCAAGATAATAAACCGAGAGTTAACTGCCAAACGAAGTTTTCAGTGACGCACTCGCGAAATGTGCCCTTCCAGCTGTTCAGGAAATTGCCATTCGAAGAATGCACTTTGTTATTTCCTCCTGCGTGACGACACTGCATCGAGTAATCGCTAAATCCGCCGGGATTCGCGCAATGATTGATTGAAGAGTTCGAGTTGACATCTGTCAAGTCGTGATTGCCAACGCCACTTGCTATCTTGCGCAGGTGGAGCAGGAAGAAGAAGTAAGACAGGAAAAAGAGAGAGAGAAAGAAAGAGCGCGTCCAATATAATTTATTATATACGAAAGATGTGTGACAGGGAAGGAGAGAGATCGATATAATAGAAATATGACGCTAAAAAAAGAACGTGTCGTACCATGTGTGTACGTGTTACCATTAAACTATCCACGTAATCAATGGGCGGGTCGCCATTATCGGCCATTATCATTTCCCAGCGGTGAGATAAGCAATGATTCATGAATCGCGTTTTCCGGCATTGAAGATTAATCGAGAACGCAATTACGATCTCTTTTTCTTCTCTTTTTTGCTCTCGAGAAAACGAGCTCGGTGCCGCTGATATTCACGGGATCGTAGGACGACGATTAATCTCTTCGGGAATGAATTTATCAAGATCAGGAGGAAATAATTCAATTTTGAGGCGACAAATGTGATGTCTGTTAATCGTACGACGAGATTTTCCTTTATTTCGCAAAATTTTGCGAATTAAAGAGAAGTTGAAGAAGAATCATTTTTTTAACGTAACCTAAACGTGTGCCAGTATCCCTGAAGTTGAAGGAGTGAAAGCATCAATGCCTGGACACATCTGCTGTTTCGGTCATTAAATAAGAACAATCAAAACTCCGGTATACAGTGGAGAAGCACACGTAACTGAGACCACTTCGTGAGGAACTTTAACGATAGATTGTTACATTCAAAATACAATAAATCGGACAAGGGTCGTTCGATAGTCGTGATGGAAATTGTCTTGATATTTTAATTTTATAATTCAGTCTCAGTATTTAAAAAAAATATAATTTAACACGATGGAATTTGTCTTAAATTTTATCTGTAACTTTTTTGCTACAAAAAATCGATTTCCATTTAAAAATTGAAAGTGATCTTGAAATCGTGAAAATTACAAGCGACAAGGGAAAATTTCAATAATGCATCGCATAGTCCCCTTCGGATCATGCAATATTCATTTAAATCAACTTTCACGCTAAAATCAATATTCACGGCGTCGAAGTGGTTCCAGTTGTGCGCTTCACCCTGCATAATGTAAAAATGCTTTTTTCCACCTAAAAACTTTAAGCTTGATGTACAATGTGTTCTTTGCTCTTTCTTTCTCTTTATCTCTTTCTGACTCGAACCTTCAAGCTCTTTTTCTGACTCAAATCTTAAGCTTTAAGCCAGAAAAAGATAGAAGACAACAGAACGCAAAGAGCACACTGTAGGCTTAAAGCCTGATCTACAATATACTCTTTGCGTTCTATTACTTGTTTTCTGTCTTTTTCTGGCTTAAAGCTTAAGATTTGAGTCAGAAGGAGATAAAGAGAAAGAAGCAGGAAGCAAAGAGCATATTGCAGATCAGACTTAAACCTTAAACTAAAAAAAGACAGAGAACAAAAAATAGGAAACAAAGAGCACACTGTAGATTAAGCTAAGAATTAATAGATTAACCTTCAAGCTCTCTTTCTGACTCAAACCTTAAGCTTTAAGCCAGAAAAAGATAAGACAAGAAATAGAATGCAAAGAGCACATTGTAGATTAGGCTTTAAGCCTGATGTGTTCTTTGCTTCCTGTTTCTTATTTTCTGTCTTTTTTAGTTTAAGGTTTAAAGCCTGATCTACAATATGCTCTTTGCTTCTTGCTTCTTTCTCTTTATCTCTTTCTGACTCAAACCTTAAGCTTTAAGCCAGAAAAAGGCAGAAGACAAGAAACAAAATGCAAAGAGCATATTGTAGATCAGGCTTAAGGCTTGAGTCAGAGAGATAAAGATAAAGAAAGCAAATAACACATTATAGATCAAGCTTAAAGCCTGATCTATAATATGCTCTTTGCGTTCTGTTTCTTATCTTCTATCTTTTTCTTATCTTAAAGCTTAAGATTTGAGTCAGAAAGAAATAAAGAGAAAGAAGCAGGAAGCAAAGAGCACGTTGTAGATTAAGCTTCAATCGCGCTATCCAAATAGCTATTTCTGCAGATCTGTAAGACTACAAGTATAGCACTATGTCAGACTCGCCCTCTGGATACACCTGCGAAGTTCTATCTTGCAGGACTGCAGGCGGCGGAGGAGGAAACGGTAGCACCGTCGGGCTCAAGGGATGACCCGGTTCAGCAGAAGTTACACGTGGTCGTGTATTACGAAGCGCTATGCCCGGACTCGCGCTATTTCATCGTGAAGCAACTATTGCCGACGTATCGCAAACTGTCGGCGAATCTAGATGTGGAGATGGTGCCGTATGGCAAGGCGAAGGTGCGGTGAGGGAATTCCCGATAACGCTCACGAAGCTACCGCGAAGCGTTCTCGCATCGCCGTCGGTTGTGTACGGCCTGGTTCACACCGATCGTTCGGCACGCGCACCGATTCTACTACAGAGTTCGAGAATTTCACGAAAAAGCAATAATTCATGAGAACATCTCGTTCTTCTTCTCTTTTCTCAAAACAAATGAATTATGACCAAGGTTGGGAAAGTTACTTTTTAAAAGTAACTAGTTACAGTTTCCTTTGTTGAAAATGTAACTAGTTACAGTTACAAGTTACTGGCTATGAAAAGTAACCCGTTACAGTTACAGTTACCCAAAAAGTAACGAGTCGTTACTTTTAAATTACTTTCTTGAAATGATTGTAAATTATTATTGTAAATATAAAAATCTTACATTTTAAGCTTTAGTAAAATGTAAGAATTGAATTTTATAATATCTATCGCATTAATTAGTCAATCCACTTAAATTTCACAAATCTATACTTAATATAATAAAAATTTAATGATAGTTTTGTAGAGGTAAAAGAATTTACTCATATGCTCCATAAATACGTTGATAAATTGCCCAGATAGCACAGAGAATTTAAAGAGAATTCAGTCGTATGTCACCAATTCTGAGTTCATTTTTAAATGCATACAGAATTCTTTTCACTGAACTAAACTCTGAAGAATTCTTTTTGCCTCTGAAAATGAACTCAGAATTGGTGACATACGACTGAATTCTTTTTTAATTCTTTTTTAATTCTCTGTGCTATTTGTGTTATTAAATTAATATACAATTACTATATAATTTTAATTTTATTTTATGTCCCCCAAGTAACTATTACAGTTTACTGTTAAAAAAGTTACAAGTTACTAAAAATAAGTAAGTTAAGTTACAGTTACCGAAAAAATGTAACTGTAACTCCGTTACAAGTAACGAGTTACTTCCCAACTCTGATTATGACTGAACAATTCCAGACGCGCTCTGCCAACGAGGGAAGGTTCCGAAGTGTTTAATCGATTCTGGATTTAGATCTAGTATAGAATTGTTCTAAATGATCTAATTTCCACACATTCCATCCTCTATATTAGAAAAAATAACAATATGCGAAATTTTTTAATTTTCAACAACTTAATAAAATAAAATCATAACTCTTTTGCTAACTTTAATTGAAAATATTGACAGAAATTAATCTCTACATAAATACTGTGATATAAAATAGAAGATAGTAATCTCACTTTCAATCTCAAACGGTTAAATTGATTTCACCGTTCACACGTTCTCGAAATTACGGCGGTAACTTGATGGAAAATTACTGTTCAGTACGCGTGTCAAACGATCGGTGCCAACGAGCGTTGTATCATCGCGTTAATTACTTATATTTTTTTTTCTTATTATCTTTACGAGATCCGCAGCTGTCAATTGATATATCGATGTGCGACCGCGTCCGGGATCGTCGCGAATCGAATTGTAGCCAAGTAAGCTCTTTCTACATGAGACGTTTCGTTTTATACACAGACAAGACATATAAAGACAAATGACGGATACGAGTTCACGTGTCAGCACGGACCGATCGAATGTCAAGCGAACATCATACATGCATGCACCATTGATGCCATTAGAGACCCGTCGAAACGTTTAGACTTTCTGGCTTGCATGATTGAGAATAACATTCATCCGATAGAGATAATGAATGCATGCGTCGTGAGGCTGAACACGTCCGTGGAAGCGGAATCTATCAGGAAGTGCTCGGACACTAGCAGGGGCAAAGAACTGTTGGCCAAGTACGGACAGATGACGAGGTCACTCGTGCCGCGAGTGTCTTTCATACCGACGATCACTCTGGACGGGGTAAGGAGGCTGTCGAGCGGCTGAGACCGTTGCAGAGAAATAAAATGTAACGCGTGAAAATCTTTTCAGAGCTCCGACAACCAAGTAAAAATACTGAAAAACATGCTGAAGGAGGTGTGCCTACACTTCAAGGTCATCCCGAAAGAGTGCGAACACGTATCGTGAGAACACGCGGCAGCGGGCTGCTAATGCAAACATATCCGCATAATCATCGAACTTTGTTATCGTGTTACATGATGAGATTTGAAAAAGAGAGAGAGAAAGATATGTATGTATATACGACAGATACATGTAAAAATGAAATATATAATATTTTGCAAAAAAAGAACAAAATCTATCCGTTGTATGTATGTGTGTTGTGTGTGTGTGTGTGTGCGCCTCTTATTCTTCGACGAGGGAGCCGGAAACACCGACGAACAGAGCTCGACGGCGCGATAAACAGTCAAAATGGGAACGAATTTACTCCGAATCAATCTCATGTAATTTGGCTACGGTTGCTAATTGCTCGTGAATTCGCGCACAGCGTTCTGTCTGTCGCGCTTATTCGGGGAAGATTCTTTCTATTCTGTAGCTATCTACCGCTCGCGCAAAAGTTAAAAAAAAAAAGAAAGAAAAGAAAGAATAAGATCGCAACAGAGACATTGCCGTTCTCTTTTCGTTCGGGGAGATAAAATTGCTTGTATAGATAAACACCAGTTTTGCTCCCATATAAGTATATATAGGAACAATTTATTAACTTAATATCAACACTTTATACAAACTGTGTGTGTGCCGCTTTATTTACGTACGACAAGAAGTGAATAACGCCTTTGATACGGCAGAGAGAATATACTTACATACACTAGAAACAATGTTCGAATAGAATACGAGAAAATCAGAGTATTAATCGATAGCTACTATCGGTTGAAAAATAATGAAGGAAAAAGGAGCGTGTGTGTATATACGTCGAGGTCCGCGCTCGAAAAACGATTCGATAGAAAAGCACAGATTTTGCGTTTACTCTTCTGCTTCTTCTCTCCTCTTAATATCGCAAACGAGCTCTCGCGCGTCTCGAGAAGTTACAATTGCGTTGAACCGAAACGAAAGCGCATATCTCTGTCAATCGATAATAACGTTCTTATGTACACATTGAAATAAATACAACGTTCGAAGAGGCAGGATGTGTCTTGGTACCTGCGCGCAGCGGTATATAAGCAAATACGGTAATAAACAATTTTTAAGAACAACAACGTGTATTTCAATAACAAAGATCAGGGACGCTAAATTAAATATTAGATGAACTAACGCTTTTTTTTCTTTCTTTCATATTATTCAGTAAGATTTGGCATTGCCTCGATGTTAACGTTCACAACAAGAGCTTCCATGCGCCGCTAACTCGGCGCGCGAAAATTCTCTCAATAAATAGATTTTGCAATACGGATATATAAAATTACTATTATTAAATACTGGAATAGAGTCTTTGTAACATAAGAGACTTAATCACTAGGTATCAGTGTTCGATGAAACGAAGCGATTGGAAGCATTTAGATACAGATGCCTGTCGAATACTAACAACCACTTTTACAAAAAACGTGTGTTGACGATCTCTCTTCCCTTAATAAAGTGTGGAAACACCTCGGACACAGAATACCACAGTACACAAATAGATCCAATGTGCTTAGTATTTTTTTTCTTTCTTTCAGGTGTAACGGAGCAAGTTCCTAATTACAATTAATACCGTACTTTCTTGTAACCTATGTCTAATCTCCTCGAGTTTTTTCGGGGGAAGGGGCGGAGGGGGGAGTTTTAGCGAGAAAAGTTAGATATGTAAAGTGGATCTGTTCACAGAGGACAATGAAATATTCTCATAGCAAAGTATCTAGATGCCATCGAACACAAAAAAGATGGTTGCTGAAACGAGAGGTCCATTGGTAATGAAGGAAACGAATTCGAGTTAGCTGTGACCTAAAAATGAGGATACATTTATTTTGTCTTTTTTTTTTGTTTTTTTTTTTTCTTCTCTGTTTAATGATCATCAATGCGATCTAGGTCACCAGAAATACAAGTACTTCTTCTTCATTTTGCTCACTTCGATATTAAATAATAAAGGACGACTGTGGAGGAATTATCTCTTTCATCTTTTTTCTTAATTTCTTCGTAAATTAATTTTATATATATATATATATATATATAATATATATTACATATATATTATGACTGAATCACCGACACGCATGATGGTACGCTGTACGGCATTTATGTTCTTTGCTCTCAAGTTCTTAAGTAACATTATCGTACGGATCGCACAAAAATCACACCAGTTTCTCCGATCTGGTTGCTCCGCTTACGAGACTGGCACGCACCCCTGGGCGAAGAAAAGTAATGCACCGGTCACTGTGGCCTTTACTTCCTTTAATCCCCCATCCCTATTTTTTTTCTCCGTGATTTATTATATCAACAAAAGTGGTGTCGACGTCGTTTTTTCTTGTTTTTTTTTCGCTTTTTTTTTCCTTTTTTCTTTTTTTCTGCGCGCATGTATGTAAGGCTTTCCCAGTGTGTGGAAGGCAAGTTACAAATAGGAGATTAAAATGGAACTGGAGGCAAAACGCACTTCGTGAATATTATAGATAGTGTTTATCTCTTTTCATATATTTTTTTGTTGCTCTGTGTGTATCTTCGTGTGTATATAGCTGTTTATCATTCGACGTGTACGTGTAAGTCCCGTGCGTACGGACACACGAGAGGCTGGATTGATATTGATCGATTGAAAAGCATAGGAAGAGGCTTTCTTTCAAACAGGAATGTCGCGACTTCGAACTGGAGTTCTCTCTCTCTCTCTCTCTCTCTCTCTTAAACGATCGTCGCAACTCGTACTAACGATCCAACACAAGCCTATCGCCACAGTCCCGCGGGCGAGACGTGATGCGCGAAAGCACAGTAAAGATCCGAGTTCCTCGAGGCTCTTCATCACATCTTTCTTTCTCTCTCTCTCATGCTTTGTGTCTTTCCCGTTTTTTCCTTCTTTTTTTATAAATTTTCTTCTCCGTTACTTATACAAATTAAGTTATTCGTTATGTGGCATCGAGAGATCCAGCTTTGCATGTAAGTCGTCGATAACCCAGAGACTGAAGCATCATATGTTTACTCTCGCTTTTTTCCTCTCCCCTTCTGGAAAACTATGTCCAGGCCGAATTCCCTCTCACGAGACAAACAAACATTTGTACATGTGCATGCATCTTTTTTTTTTTAACGGTAGAGATATTATTATAGCAGCTACGTATCCTAATGTTCATTTGCTATACACGTATCTCATTTACAAAAAAAAAAAAATCCCGACGAATCTCTCGATTGGCAAATAAAACTTTGCTGTTTCAATATCTTACATCGGATTTTACTTTGTCCCCTAATGCACATTTCCTCTCCCTTTCCAAGAGATACATTCTCCGACATGCCTTTCGTGAAAAAAAAAAGTTTCAGGAAGATAGGTGCGAGGATCGGGTGGTAGCGACAATAGAAGGATAGAAGGTTGAGGAGGAGGGAAGGGAGGGCAGTCGAGAAAGAGAGGAAAGTGGAAAATGCACTTTTTCCTTTGGTGCACATGCGCGCGCAATTGTGTCTTCGCGTATCTCACTTCCAATTCGTGTTATCCAGTGGAAATAAGACATCCGAGTGTGTGAATGTAAAATATGTATACCTCGTGTATATGTGTGTGTTTATCAATTTAAGTGTATAATCGGTGTACCGTGTTCCTGAATGTACGTGTTTTGTGTGTGTCCTCGTATATACGCGTAAATATTCGTGTTTTGAAAGATAATGACTTTAGTGGTATAACTCTTTAATTAAACAATTAATTGCCCTGTACTTATCGTTAACGGTGATTTTTTTTTAACGCGTATCGGACGTTGACTCTTCGCGCTTTATAGACATCTTCGCATCCTGATATAAGATTTGTCACTTTCTGGTTGATTCTCATTTGTTATATATTTTTTTTCTCTGTTTCTTGATTTATTTAATACGTCAACACCACTCCGAATCGCAAGTTCTTCTGTTACACAGGTTGCATTCACTTTGATGTCATCATCGTGACAAATTCTGAAAGATACAACGAAAGAGCATATTGTTATAGCTTGCGTGTCACGGCGCCGTTACATGTAAAATCATGATAAAGTTTCGTTCAAATAATGATGAAACAATCAGATTCAAAAGATCAAAGATACTCGAATACTGGTTTCTCATTATGACGTGAAAAACGAATAAAATTTTGAGAGAACGCATGCAATCAAATCGCACCAACTTGCTCAAACGACAGACTGATAAAGCTCTGATCGCGTCACATCAACGATAAATTGTCTAGGAGCGTAGGCTATTCGATAGACTAAAAGATATAAATATAAATGCGATACAACCTTCATAATTAACTTGGCCATCGCCGTCGATATCGGCCTCCCGTATCATTTCATCTACTTCCTCATCAGTGAGTTTCTCGCCCAGATTTGTCATAACATGTCTGAGTTCCGCTGCGGATATGAAACCATTTCCATCTTTATCGAACACTCTGAAGGCCTCCCTGATCTCTTCCTCGCTATCCGTATCCTTCATCTTGCGTGCCATCATGGTTAAAAACTCCGGAAAGTCGATTGTTCCGTTACCTGAAATTTTGACAGATTTCCGTAACATTGAATATTGATCTGCTCTTTTGCATCGAGTGCTCATCGGCAGAAGGAATAAACTATTGATAATTTTACGGAAATAATAAGTTTCCTAGAGAGAGCTTCGTCCTATATAAACTTTAAAATTCATTAAAAAAAATTAATTTATTTAAAAACACACAGACGAAGATAAGATAAGGAAATCATTGGATCTTGGCGCAGAAAGCAGGAGCGCTGCTGCATAATTCTGTAAATCGTTGCGAGAAATAAATAAATATATATATGTACCGTCTGCGTCTACTTCGTTAATCATGTCTTGTAACTCGGCTTCTGTGGGGTTCTGACCCAAGGATCGCATGACTGTACCCAGTTCTTTGGTCGTTATGGTGCCGTCACCATCTTTATCGAATAGCGAGAAGGCTTCCTTAAACTCTGCGATCTGTTCCTCTGTGAGTTGATCCGCCTTGGGAACACACCAGAAAACAAGACATCCAATTAATTTCCTGTACGCTATTACGCATGTACGTAGTGTTAATATTTACATTAATTATGCATGATAAAGTACGCCTTCTGATGGAGTTCAACGCGATAACTTAACACAAATTGTACAAACATATTTGCGCGTGTCGATTCAAGCTAACTGCCGCGTTTTCAATCATTTATCTCGTCCTGATAAATCTGTCTGCCCTGTCATCGCGGCAGTCTGCACTGCCTGAATATTAAAACGCCAATGACGTATCGTCGCTGCACTTCGATACTACTTTCGATGTTTGTGCAACAAAACGATCGCGGCGTAACGCCGTTGTTCTTAATGCGCGCCTGTCGCTCTTTCTGGAAATCCTGGCGGACGGTAAGTTTTATAAACAGCTTAATTAATTTCTAGACCGACAAAATAATGCGAGGCAATGAGATGCGCGACAATGGACGGAAATAGCGCGATGATACATCGAAGTCGTTTTAATCACGCATGCACACAAATACGGAAATCCTGGAGATCACTCCAATTTCGGCAAAGGCTTTAGCAGCAGTGTGATTCATTGCAAATACTATGCGCTTGCAAAATGCAGATCCCACGACTATATCGCGCGACGATGTGAAAATAAATTTTGATTCTTTTCCAAATGTGTATACGCGTGTATATATATGTATATACATGCACAAACACACACCTACATACATATGTATACATTTATAATGCACCAACTACCGGCGATGCATTCGCAAATGTTTGCGTTTTACTTTGTCGAGACACTGTCGCACGAGAATGAACACGTATAGGATCGGCCAGGTGTCAGCGAGTTCCACGTTATTCCAAAAACAGACAGTCACCTTTCCACATTCTGATAAATCAATACTACGGCATTTCACGACGTCTTTAGAAAGTAGTGGCGATACAGGATTCTCAGAGATACGTGCCGCAAGTTATTCTTGGAAACTAATTGCAAACAGCTACCGGACTTGACGCTCATTCGCCTTAGGATTAAAGTGCAGCGATAATCAGCGTATATCAATTTAACGCGCCCGAGAGAGAGAGAGAGAAAGAGAGAGAGGGGGAGAGGAGAAGGAGAGAGTGAGAGAGAGAGAGAGGGAAAGAAAGATACAAGGAAAATCTCACTATAAATTGCGCCGTTGCGAACGTAACGCACTATTTTTCATCAACTATCTTTATCTTTCTCGCCGCGCCTTTTTTCCTCGATTATTATACTTTCGTACACTCGAGAGCACGATCGAGCTTCATTATTGCACACACACCTATGTACTAACAATGTACTCTTCCCGGAATCTGCACTTACCATCGAGATATCGGTTCTATCGATGCAAAAGCGACCTACGGGAAATCCGCATCCACCGACTCAACGCTACGGCCGGACGCGAGCAGCGGTTAACCTCACTTTCGAAACGTCAGACGCGCCCGTGTTTCCCGGTCGGCCGCTGACGGGTAATATGGCGAGAAACGGCGCGGGCAGGGTGACTCTCTCCGCGGCGGAGAGGACGAAGATGCGAGTGCGTCGTCGCGGGAAGGCCCGTTGTCGTCGTCGTCGTCGTCGTCGTCGTCGCGGTGAAGGAGTGAGCCTGCGGCGTATAGACGCGACACGCGTACACGACGACGACGATGGCACGGGGAACGTAAAAGAAGCGCGGGGACCGTCGCCACGACACGGCGTGAGGGAGCACGAAAATCAATAGCGAGCGACGTGTATCGCAAACTAACGCTTGATCGCCGAGCGGATAGGACGGTGCCGCAACGTGCGCGCAAGGGTTGGAAAAGAGAAAAACGAGGAGCCAGGTGGCGGCTAAGGCCGCGAACACAGGGAAAAACGCAAGCAGGCCGCCCACAATACGTGAAGTATTGGCGTGAAGAGCAGCAGTAAGAAATAAAAAGAATTTTTTTTTCGCTTACGTCTACGCTCCAGCTGCCTTTCGCCGGAAAAATCTCAGTTAAATAAATACTTCCGGTGTAAAGGAAGTTTAGTGTAAGTATAAATAAGATAAATTTGTTTTATTTCTTGTTCCTACTCCCAACTCCTTACACCAGGATTACTCCGCGCGTGTATTGTGGACAGCCGTTAAAACTCAAGCAGTGAGCAAATTGACCAATCGCACAGTCGATGATTCTTCTCACGGCTCAAGAACAATCGATCATGTGATCGGCCAATTTTCTTACTGCTTACGTTTTTCCCTAAGGAGGAGACCTTCAGACGTCATTGGGCCGTGTTTCAGATGTCGGCGTCATCTGGAAGAGGCAAAAGAGGCGAGAGGGAACGCGGTCGGGTCGCACGCATGAAAAATGCACGCGTAACCGGAGACATCCTGGCGGCACGCGCGTCCTTAAAGGCGAATATCCGGTGACCGTGTGCGGATTATGCAAAAGGAGCGGTCGGTCGGGTGTATATCGCGCTCGCACGCGTCTTAGATTTCGTGCTTCGATGAGTATCTCCGACCGATCGAAGGAGAGGCGTGCGAAGAGGAAGATCGCGGTAATGCGATAACGCGCGCGCGAGAAAGAGAGAGAGCGAGCAATGACGAGGACGACGGCGACGACGACGCCATAGTTCCGCATCGTTTCCTTCAATTTCGCGCCGAAGACCGATCACCGTTGGTTAAGAACGCCATCAAAGAGTAGAGTAGTCTGTCGGTATCTCTCTGCCTCTCTCGTCACTGAGTGAGAGAGAGAGAGAGAGAGATTGCAGGAGCCGATGTCATTCTATCCAATTACACTTTCTACACTTTCTTGCGGAACTTGCCTTCTTCTGCTCCCAGTCAAATTTTGAATGTATATTTAATCGTTGGGAGCAGAGAGTGTAGAAAAGTGTAAATGGAGAAACCGAAAGAGAGATAGAGAAAAAGAGAGAGGAGCAGGCAACACAGTTATACGGTGTGACGTTTCGCATTCTCAAACTCTCGTAAGGCTGCGCGAATTCAACGGACGGATGGACAGGCAGACAGACGGAGGAGAGTGAGAAGACGTCGTCGCGATTACTCCGACGAGTCCAAGACAGCGGCGACGCGCCCATCAAGTTGATACGATGGCGAGGAGGAGGCTGGAGCCGGCGGAATTAGCTGCTGCGTCGTGGAGGATCTTCGGCCACCTGTCTCGCTCGCCACCTCGTAACGCGCAACCGGCGCAGCCGAGTGTGAGTTCTGCGAACATTCCTGGGACACTCGGAGGCACGTTCGACGCGCCGTCCCGGAAAGAATCCGCCCTGTCTACAGCTGCGCGAATATTCCGCTGGCGAACGGCGTGAAACGGGAATAAAAAGCGACGAGACATTTTCGACAGCCTCCCGCCATCTTCTTCTTCTCGCTCGCTCTCAGTCTTTCTCTTTCCCTCTCGCTCGCTCGTCCTCACTCACTCACTCACTCACTCACTTACTCTTTCTCTCTCTCTTTCGCTTGTTCGTCGCTTGCTCTACGCGACGACGATCGATCGGCGGTTACTTCCGCTCGCGCGGATGATGCAGATTTTCCTCGTTGCCGCGGAAGAAACTCGGCGAAGAGGCACGGCGAGAAGTATAGACGGCCCGCACGGATCGATAATAGCGGCTAGTCGGTTGCGGTCTCCGACTGAAACGCGTTCGAACTGCTAAACGGCTGACAACGCGAACGGCGTAGAGAGGCGAAAAGGAGAGGACGGAAGTAAGAGGTGAACAGATTGAAAAGAGAGAGAAAGAGAGAGAGAGAGGCGAGCTTCTCCTCGCCTCGATCCTTCCAGAAAAGGAAATCCATCCTGCCTTTCGACGGCGATAACGAGCGAAGCGAATAAAACAGACGGGAAGAAAGATGGAGTGCGCGCGACACACCAAAGGCGAGTTCAAATGCCATATCTGTCGCGACAAAATCGCACATTAAGCTGGCTCTCACTTGCTGCATTTGCCACCGCACGTGCGCTCCGCGAGACGCGTCAATGCGGCGAACCGAGAGCCCTCAACGGTCGTTCACGGCCTACCTCGCGGTCGAATCGCCCGGCGACGATGCGCTTTTCTTTCCTCCTCTCTCGCACGTCACGCGCATATAGTGCGAGGAAGATACGAGGTAAAGCGGCGATGAATTTTGCACGACGACGACGACGACAATGTTATACACATTACACGCGGCGCGTCTATCTCTCTTCCTCTTTCTCTCCCTTCCTATCTCTGTCGCGGTGAGTCGCGATCGCAACGAGAGAACGGACGAACGAGGCGGTTGTTACTTACCATTGTGGCTTCTCTTTCACGTCTCGGTTACGCACGAGAGGCTCTTCTCGGCTGCGAACACCCGCACCCGCACACTAGACAACAAACGTTGTATGTTGTACTTGTTCACAAGCAGCTCCGGATCGCTCGCTCGCTCGCTCGCTCGCTCAGTCGATCGGTCGGTCGGTCGGTCGGTCGGCCGTGCAACGATCTGCCGTTCGGAGTGCAGGCAGGCAGGCAGGCAACTTTTTCCGGGCGTGGAGCGGTGTGTGTGCCGTGTGTATGTATGTGCGAAAGAATATGTGTAACTTTTGTACGTTGCACGACGCGCGGGACAGACACGCAGGTGTAGATACGGGGAGATCACCAAGTCCGGCGAGAAACGCACTCGGGGCAGCAATGGAGTCCGCGGTGTCTCTCTCTCGGTGTGCGAGGCTCTCTGTGGGCCACCGCTGGTCTCGTCGCCCGGGTATCACTACGCCGTCCCCTCACAGCCCGCGCCTCGGCCAATCGCCGCGCGCCGTCGGGCCGGCGGGGCGCGCTGTTGGCCAGCGGGGGTACGGCGGGGTAGGTTCGCGCGGCGGCCGCGACGCACCGGCCGCCTACGCGGCCGCGAGCTAGACCCGCGCGCGCGGCTTCCCTAGCTTGCCGAAAGGTGCGGAAAAAAGCCCGTGGTGGTTTTAATCGCGCGAACGGCGCGTGAGAGCGAGAGCGACATGGACGATGGAGGATAGAGCGACGGAGAGAGAGAGAAAGAGCGAGCGAGTAAGAGAGAAAGAGAGAGAAAAGGCGACGAAGGCGAAGAGACGCCGCACCGTGCGCGACGTGGCGCGGCCACGGGCCGGCTCGCGCGTACCCGCGACCGCCCCGTAACAAATCCGTTTTACACGGCGGGGTGGGTGCGGTCGTGTTTACAGGACGAGTCCGGGCGAACTAACCGGGCCTGTGATTGGCCGGCGCGCACCTGCAATGCGTCAGGCAGCGCGCGGACTGTGCCGTGTCGCGCCGGCTACCGGGTCAGAGAGCCGGGCTTCCCTGCCGCTGCGAGGAGACCGCTCCGATGCAACCGACGCGTTTTTCGGCTACGCGTTCTGGGGTGTATACCCGCGTTTTCCCCGAGTCCCTTCCCTCCCATTACCGCGCTTCCCTCGCAGCCGCCGCGTTTCCTGTTACCTCTTCCCGTTACCGCCGCGATCGCCCCTTTGGCTACCGTGTCCCGGCCGCTTGGTCACCCCTTTCTCTCTCTCTCTCTCTCTCTCTCTCTCTGTCCATACATCGCCGAATCACCGGTGATTTTCTTTCCTCGTGCGACGATCTTCGCGTGCTTCCGCGTATCAGACCCCGCTTGCGCGTCCGTCCGTCTGCCCGCTTCGTCGCAGTCTCGTCATCGACTTCGCCGAGATCGCGACGATGACGAGAGATCCGTTTTTTTACATTGGTCTTTTTTTATCGCGGGACGGAACAAGGCGTGAGGTGTCCTCGATGGGGTGTCCTCGCAGCCGACGGGGTCTGGCCCCACGTGAAACACGGGGGTGTACTCGACGCGATGAATGATCTTTTTTTCCTCACGCAGCGATACGTTACGCGATAGAAAGCGTCGGTCGGTCGCCTTCGGTCGCTCTTATCGATCGACTCTTACGTTTCTCCTTTTTTCTCGCCTTTTTCGATGAAATAAGGGCCTCTTGGCGAAAGACCGCATCACAGAGGAAACCTATCGCTCTCGCAAACGACGCAAATTGGATCTACCCGAGGCTAGGCGGACAGAGAGAGAGAGAGAGAGAGAGAGAGAGAGAAGAAAGTTGCTATAATTTTCCTGCGTTTTCTCTCTCCCTCTCTCTCTCTCTCTCTCTCTCTCTCTCTCTCTTTCTCATTTTGCCAAGTATTGATTTTGATCAATTTCATCGGTGAGCGCTCTAGCACAAATCTCCTTCACCTCGAGGAATTTACAGGCGGGTGTAAAGCGTGAAAATTTATCGTACCCGGCCGTACCGTCGTCGTCATAGTCGTCGTCGCCCTTGTCCTCTGCACCCCTTTCCTATAGTTTCTTTTACCTTTCTCCCCTATTACCTTTCCTTCCCTCTCTCTTCTCCCTCTCTCTTTCTCTCCTATATTTTTCTTTCCTTCCCTGTCCTTCTCTGGCGGCGCTCTCGCTCTCGCTCTTGCTCTGGTATACAGTCGCTCCTTCAGCACCCGTTTCGCTACCCCCCCTTCCTTCTCTCTACACCTCCCGCCGCTTTGCCTATATACTATTTCCACTTTCCCGGTATGTGTGTCAGTGCGGCAATTTGACAGTGGTGTCAGATAACGCATAATCGCGCCGATAGCGATGGATTAGGATGATTAAGTTCGAGCGCGCTCGAACGATAAGTGACTGTTTATGGATAAAAACTGGAGACATTAAATTATTATCTAGTATGGGCGTCTATATAAATAAGGGGCTGAAATACACGAGAGGCTCTTTGACTCCCTTCTTCCTCTCTTTCTCTCTCTCTCTCTCTCTCTCTCTGGTCCCCTATCTGTCTCTTTCTTCTCTCTCTCTCTCTCTCTCTTTCTCCCTCTCGATCTTGCGCTCCTTTTCGCACGCTCGCTCGCTCGTATTCGCCATGTGCTCTACTTCGAGAGAAAGAGAGGGAGAAAGAGAGAAGGAAGGAGAGGGAAAGAGAGAGGATCCCACGTATAGATTATACTCCCCAAAAGTTCTGCATTGCGTTCTCGGTCGTACATGAGACGGTAAACATGCTCGCCCAGATTATCAGTCGATCTTATCAATAATCGTCGTTTATCAAACTATGGATTACGAATGCGTCGATATGTGGAACGTTAGTAAGATAGATTGGCACGTCGCGGAGATAATCTCAGCCGAGTTCACTTCTCCCGTACAGCCTCATTCTCACGGGGGGAATATAATCTCACGTCTACGTAAGATTACATTCTTATCGGCGCGAATGAAGTGCTGAGGCGTCGTTGAGTTTTCGAACGTTGTCCGCGACATCGGAATTTGATCGGCCAGCGTTCGAATCGCGGCCGAATTTGCCTGTTATCGGCACGACCCGTTCCGGTGAGAAAGGGGTGGACCGTTCCTCGTCACCTCGCGAATCGCATAAATATCCGCGGAATCGTTACTTCGCGTTTACTTGCGATTTATTAGGCCGGGCGAGCGGCGCGAACAATAACACACCTAGAGGTGTGTTCGCGGGCGCGCACGGCGACCGGCAGGCGGGACTAAAATTTTTACGAAGGCGATTACGGAAGGTGAGACTCCACGCAAGCTGGTGGCCGTGCGCGCGCGGTGAATTATTCAGCGCGCCTCTCCGAACTCCTTCGTGGATGCGCGCGCGCGCACGCTTCTTCTACGAACGAACGTCGTGAAGTCGCGAAATCGCGCGCCTACGCGCCGCAGGGAAAATACGCAAAAAGCAAAAAGCCGGTTTTGGAGAATTAAGATAAAATTATCGATTCCTCCGGATACTTAATCCTAAATATTCTTATCGTTCTGGAGTATTTAAATACGAGTATTTAAACTTTCAAAACAGAATATATGTATGTACAACATAAAATATATATGTATATATACAGGGTGTTTCAGAACAATGCTGCTCGTGAGGATGCGGATTAGGCTAAACTGAACAAAAAATTTCTCTACCATTTCTCAAAAAAACCACGTGAAATTTTGAGTTATTAATCAAAGAAAACATTTTAAGTTAAAAGTTTAAATATTCGTATTTAAAAATCAAAACACTAAGAATGTCAGAAGAATCAGGTATTCGAACGTTGACACTTTTACCTTGCCGTTTTCGAAAACTGACAATATTATCAATCCATGAGCTCCAGGAACGTAAGGCTCCAGGCAGGGAGAGAAGGAGGGAAAATAGAAAAGTGATGGTAGCGCGGTTCCACGGCAGTGTGTGTGTGTGTGTGTGTGCATAGTGTGACGCTATGTTCAAGGCACGCATCTCGATGACGCTCGAGAGAGAGATCGATTATGGAAGCGACACGGACAATAGTTACGGCGACGACTTCGGATACATCGACATATGGACATCTGGACCCGAGCATTCTGTCAGGGGAAGTGTAATTAGCGATAAGGGTAAAGTCACGGCGCTTCACCAAAAATCGATACGCTCTCTCGGCTTCAAGACGATTGGGACACTTTTTCGATGCACCTCGGAATGTATGTAGCTGTCGTCCAATGGTAGAATTCGTTTTCGAGTATTCTTGTAAAAGAGGTTAGGATCTCCCATTGGATGTCGCATGCAGAAAGAAGTGTTTGCACCGTTCTGCAGAACGAGTACGCACATGCCAGGACAATAGCCTTAATGTGTCACGCAACTTGGTTATTAGGATTCTCTAATCGCACGCAAATATTGATTTATTATTTATTGATTATCTCTCCTAAGAAGAACGGGAACGATGTGATCTCGCAGCGATGACTTTACGTTCCGGAAACGAATGTGCTGAGAGAAAATGTATCCAAGAAAAATAATAGATATTTATTCCGCGAGTAAAATTTAACATATTTGCTTACACTAATATGAGATATTTTGCAAATATACATTTTTTTTAATCTTAAGGAGACCTTATTTTTTCATGGAGACGTTTATTCTCTTTAAACAAGAGAATTTAGATTTAAGATAACAAGTAATTAATACTCATCACAAAGAAATGTTTACTATTTTTCGCATATTCTTTCTCTCAGTGTACGATTAGATAATATTACTAATTCAATTATACAGAATATTAAAGTTCTTTACCTGAACTTTCTTTTATCGATAATAATGCCTCTGAATGTGACTTGTAAGTCTTCTGATTGGCTTTCAGACAAAAGAGAATTCAGAATAAGAGCTATTATGTCATAGATATAATGCAAAGTGGTTTACACATGTTTTAAAAGTTGGAGCTCAACACATACTGTCAAAATTCAAATATTATTACCGGCAGACTTATGCAATAATAATATAATTAACAGCACTAAATAATAATACTAAGAATTAATAATACATTACTGAGAAAACCCGTCACACACACGCACGCACATATACATACAGTAATGACTCTTTTTGACATTTCAGCGTGCTTCCAACTTCATCTAAACAATTTTGCAATTCACTGTATACTCGGTTACAAAACGATTGCCACACATTTTTTCGAGTGGTTGTCACAAATTAAGAGACACTGCTGACGCGTTTGCGCTGTAATCAGTTATAACAGGAGTCAAGACGGTAGAGAACGTGAAAATAAATTTGATTGATATAACATTCAAATATTATTATCCTCCCGTAGTTTAAATTACGAAATTATGAACTTTGGAGGTACAAATTCCTTTATTAACTAATTACAACGCGAACGTATCAGCAGTGTCTCTCAATTGATTGACAATCAGGAGCGCGCTGCAACTTCATTCGGAAAAAAACGTGACTACTGTTTAGCGTAAACGTAGAGTGTGCAAACTCTGGTTCAATTGACGTTCCAACCAGATATTCATAGGTCGATGTTCGTATATAAGAACGCTAATCGGCATAATTTTCGGCAAGTTCAATTCCGTCGAAGCATGCTTCCCCCTCTCTCTCTCTCTCTCTCTCTTTCTCTCCCCTTACGTCGATATCGGTTCTTCGCCGCCGTGGCCGGCGGCTCTGTCGCCGCCGCCGCGAATAGACGCGACGATCATTTTCGCGCGATCGCGGGGCCATCGGGACGCGAGGAGACGTCGCCGAAATTAAACCGGTCTTGATCCCGCGGCGAGAATGTGAGAATACCGGCGCGGCAGCGGCGGCGGCGTGTCTCCCCTCGATCGGCGATTCGGGGCGACATACGCGCGCCCCGGCCACGCCGAGGGACGGCGACCTGTTCCTTACGGGGATGGATTACGTGCGAAAGCGTGCGCTCGCTCGCTCGCGAGGGCGACGAAGTTTCTTTCTTCGCGTTAAAGCGTACGTGCAAGAGTTACGCATATCGATCGCGCCGCTCCTCCGGCCAGGAACACGGCGACGCGGCCGCCAAGAACACCGCTGTCCGCGTCCGCACCGCGCCGCGCCGCTACGCTGCTCCACGCGCGCGCGCGCACGCTCATTCACGTGTGTGTGTGTGTGTGTCCGATGAATTGTTAACCGGCCCGTCGTTGTGTGACCGTGACCGATATATCCCGGAGACGCGGCGGCCGGTTACGCGCACCCGGCGGACGACCGTCGTCGATAAGGCTAATTAGCGGCGGCGGCGACGGCGGCGACGAGTGTACGTATATATGTGCATACACAGAAAAATTGCTCGCTACCGTCGTCGTCGCGCGAGGGTGCCGAGTCCGCGAGAACTCCGCGACGTTCTCGAGATTTCCACCCCCGTCGAGAAGGAAAGAGAGGTGGAAAAGGCGGCGCGTCCAACGGGGG